GAGTATTAAATATGATATATAGACTGTCATGTCTGCTATACAGAGTAAGATACCATTAGATAATTCATCGCTTACTACAAAGTTTATACGAGTATTAAATATGATATATAGACTGTCATGTCTGCTATACAGAGTAAGATACCATTAGATAATTCATCGCTTACTACAAAGTTTATACGAGTATTAAATATGATATGGAGACTGTCATGTCTGCAAAGCAGTAATATTTGACACAATATTGCTTGATCCAAACAATTCATTCCTACCAGAGATCATCATGCAGAGATTGTGAGGCTTGCTTTCCTATTCCTTACTGATAGTACAAGCCTTTAGGCAGATTTTGAAAATTCATCTTGTCCAACCTGTACTTCCCTAGCATTGAAATTGTTTGCCTGCCCTGATATAAAACCTACTGGCCCGAGGTGACAGGTTAGTGGAATTGTGAACCCATGGGTCTAGTAACTCAAGTTCTAATGTTCTAACCTATTTAGAATTTTACTCCAAATGACAATGTCATGATGTCCGTTTTGCGGATATCCAAAAGGTTCACTTATAGAATTTTACAGCGCATGGACCAAACCAATAAAAAGGCTTAGAAGCCTGAGATAATGAGATCTGGCATTTTCACTATAAAAATGTTTGCTTGAGGACGAATTTCCTTGGAATATTATTTATAATGTTGCAATGCCATTGTATTTCATTTGTTGCCATGTAATTATGGTGAGACATTTGCATTAAATACAAATGAATGTTGAAATACCCAATTGATTTGTCCTATAGCTGCAATCATGGTTTCTACTTGTCAAAAAAATTCTACATTCAAAAGAAATAATTTTTTAATTGAAAATTTTATTATTAGGAGGCAACATTTGGTTGCTAATTAAAAGTATTTTTTTGGGCTTTCATGCTTACTGCTGTCTATAGCTGTTCCCTTGTTCCTCCGGGTCAATTAATAATCATGTTACCCAGGGTCCGTTTTATTTTTTAAAAAGTCAGTAAGTAGTAAACTTAATAACTGAAGCCGTTGGTATCTTTATGGCTACTCTGAGTTTTTATCTTCCTAGAAAGCGTGAAGTTTTGCCAGCTAGCAGTACATCATAAATCATTCCTCTATGTCGTATCACTTCTGTGTAAATAATGCATCACTGCTGAGGAAAATACAATGAAACCTGGTAACGACAAAAACATGTTTACAGCGTCTCTGTAGGACTGTTGCGTGAGTCTGTGATATTACCAGTGTAGATCTACAGCCCAGGGTAACGACATGTAACTCCATCAGCAAGGGTTATTTATAGTCATCGATGACTCCATTGAACTCTGTTAATGAGGGTTACAGCAATTCCTGTTTACTCTGTCAGAATGGTTTAATTAAGAAAGCAATTCTCATTAACTCTGTTAGCAAGTTACAGCGATGTTTGTCAACCCTGTCAATGAGGTTTAAATTAGACAAGAGTTACAGCGATCCCTGCCAACCCTGTCAATGAGGTTTAAACAAGAGTTACAATGATGTTGTCAGCAAGGTTTAGGGTTACAGCAAGTTTTGATGAATTCTTTCAATAAGGAAAGATGGAGTAAATAATTGCAACAATTACATTACCAAGATATATTTGTGCACCTATGGTTATAAGTTAAAAGACACTTTTGCAGCCGATAGAAAGTGTTAATTTGTCTACATTGCAATTTCAACATATCCTACACAAGTTTTTATAGACATCTGTTATAAGAAGCTGTAAAAGCTCTACAAAACAATATTGTAAGTACACCTGATAGTCTCAGCTCGAAACAAGCACTCTGTAAGCTCAAAGCTCTCCACAACATTTGTTAGCCATGGATAATGGTGACCTTTGTTTTGAAAAATCAGTTTTATTGCTGAGATCGTTTTCTTCTGCTTACACTAGTAAGAAAGAAGAAATGGCACATCAAATATCTCATTCAAAAATGTTTGCAATAGCTTATTTTTTGTAAGGACAAATGATAACTTTATTACATCATGCAAAATGACATAGAAGTGTTAAATATTAATTGGTTCATCCATTTGTTTGCATTTCACTTTTTCTTCAGACTTCATTTTTTTAAACCTTTTAATATTTATACACTGTCCCATCTATAGTGCCAATTGCTGACTGCAAAAGTCTATTACTGTCAGATAAAACACACCAAAGCTGTTAGCTACAATAAAAAGTAGGATTTCAATTATTAGAAACTGAATTATATATTTCCATTCACACACAGCTCCTACTTTCACTTTTATGGAACCCTTATGATCCATTCAGTCTCACTTTAATGGAACCCTTATGGTCCATTCAGTCTCACTTTTATGCAACCCTTATGGTCCATTCAGTCTCACTTTTATGGACCCTTATGGTCCATTCAGTCTCACTTTTTTAGGGTTCCATAAAAGTGAGACTGAATGGACTATAAGGGATCCATAAATGTGAGACTGTAAGGGTTCCATAAAAGTGAGACTGAATGGAACCCTTATGGTCCATTCAGTCTCACTTTTATGGAACCCTTACAGTCTCACTTTTATGGATCCCTTATAGTCCATTCAGTCTCACTTTTATGGAACCCTTATGGTCCATTCAGTCATGTTTTTCTTATCAATTAATCAGTATGAATAAGTGAGGGCAT